TCTCCCTCCCCGGCGCGTGCGAACTCTCACCGCCGCTCCGCACCACCCCCACCCCCGCCCCGGCAGCAAGGAGTCCGCGGAGAACCCGGCTACCCGGGCCCCAGCGGGGATGCGGGCGCCCCGGGGGTGCAGGGCTACCCCGGGCCCCCCGGCCCTCGAGGACTAGCTGGAGACCGAGGCGTGCCGGGACTGCCGGGGAGACAGGGCGTGGCGGTGAGTCGGCCCCCAGGAGCGGGGAGTCTCCCGGTAGGAAATCCCTTTGCGGGCGCGGCTGACCCCTCAAAGGCTGGGAGTCCCCGGAGCCAGCTGGCTTCCCTGAGGCCCCACCTCGGACCGCTTGGGGGTGGGTGCGGCGGGGGGGATTTCTGTCCGATGCCGCACAGACTTCCGTGGGAGAATGGGAGCCGGCCAGGGGCTTCTTCCTGGAAGGCCTTCTCTGCTCGCAGGGCCGAGATGCCAGTGACCAGCACATCGTGGCGGTGATGATGAAGATGATGCAAGGTGAGGGCGGGGGCAGCACCCCTCCTCCTCCCAGTCCAAGCCGGCGCGGCGCCACCCCTCAGGAGCTGCTCCACTTGGCCCTGCCCGAGGGTCTGCAGGCCTGGGTGCTCTTTCCAGCTCTGCTTCCAAGAGGCCGGGGACCTATGTACATCTGTCCACGCTGGATCTCTGACTTCCGCAAACCGGGGGGAATGGGACGTTAAACACGGGGCTTTCTCCTCTGCACACCTAGGGGCCCGGCTCGTGGGGGACGCTCTGCCTTCCCATTTCACCGAGCCCACCCCCATCTCACAGACCTCTCCTCTCCCTCCCTCCCTTCCAGAGCAACTGGCAGAGGTCGCTGTGAGTGCCAAGAGGGAGGCCCTGGGTGCGGTCGGGATGATGGGTCCCCCAGGACCCCCTGGGCCTCCTGGGTACCCAGGCAAGCAGGGACCCCACGGGCACCCTGGCCCTCGGGGTGTCCCTGGCATCGTGGGAGCCGTGGGTCAGATTGGCAATACAGGGCCCAAGGGTGAGTGCTGTTCTATGGTGGGGGTGGGGACTGGGCAGGTATGGACTTGGCCAAGGCCAGACCCCAATTGGGTTATGGGTTGTGTGGTCTGATGGCTCAGCCTCCTGTTTTCTCTTTCATCATTCCCCCTCTCCGGATGAGGTACACTTTCCCCCACTCCCTCAGCAAAGTTTTCCAGAAGTCATATGTGACTCCTGGGCTTGCTTTCTCAGTAGAAAATTGATGGAGATGAATGTACTATTTTATAACTTGGGTATTTGGGGAGGGGGGGTGTTGTTATAAATTTGCTTAGTGGTACTCCATAAACATACTTCCATGTCTCTAGAAGCGGGGAGGTAAGTTAGCAAAGTAGTAAAGCATGGAAGCTTGAGAGTCACAAGACAGGTGTCTGTCCAGACTCTGCCACTTTCTCCTTATAGACCTTGGACAAGTTACCTGATAATCTCCCTGGGCCTTAGATTTATCATCTGTAAAATGGGAGATGTTAATAACAACCACCTCATAGCATTGTCCTGAGGATTACATGTGGAGGTAATTTACGTAGAGTTGGCACATAGTAAATATTAGCTATCATTATTATTATTAGATGCTTTCCTGTAATGAACTTGATTGGCTGTAGCCTTCCATCCTGTCTGGACCTTCCCTTACTTAACCAGTTCTGCAGACATTTCCAACTTTCCCCTATTATAAACTAGCATAAAACAGGAATAATTGCTGTGTGTGAAATAGAAATGAAATAGCAACCAAAGTAGAAAAAACATCCTCCAATTGTGAAAAGTGAAGGCTTCTTTCTTTCTCCGCAGGAAAACGCGGCGAGAAGGGTGACCGGGGAGAGATGGGACGTGGGCATCCCGGGATGCCTGGGCCCCCGGGGATCCCAGGTAAGACCTTGGCCCTGCCGAGCGGCAGTTCTGTCCCTCAGCTCTGGGATTCAGGACCTGCAGACACTTGGGTCTCTGCCCTGGCGGCCTCTTGCTCAGCCAGCTCATTCTCCTACATCCAGCTTTTGCATCCCTTTGGAGCACCCGGGAGCTGCTGGGTGGGGTCTGGCTGGGAACCAGACAGCTGAGATTCTGAGGACATCCTGGCTTGTACCAAAATCTGCTTCATGTAGGAAAATGAAAAGGCATTTGCTCCCAAGATTCACTAATTGGGAGGTGGGAGTAATGGATAATGCGACTCTCTCAGAACCCGTCTGGGGCAGTCCCTTTTTCCTGGCCTCATCCTTGACCTCATCCCACCCCCACCACTTCCCTGAAAAACGGGACTGAGAATCCTACAGCCAGCCGAGACAGGAGGCGGCCCTGATGTCCCGGTCTTCTCCCTTTCACAGGACTCCCTGGCCGGCCTGGCCAAGCAATCAACGGCAAAGATGGAGCTCGGGGATCCCCAGGGGCCCCGGGAGAAGCAGGCCGACCAGGCCTGCCAGGCCCCATGGGGCTGCCAGGCTTCTGTGAGCCTGCGGCCTGCCTTGGAGCCTCGGCCTATGCCTCTGCACGCCTCACAGAACCTGGATCCATCAAAGGGCCATGAGCATGAGGCTGGGACAGAGCCTGGTGGGCACCCTGGGGGGAAAGGACTGGGTTCCCTCTGGATGGACACATACCCCATCCCTCAGCCCAGGAAGCCAGTTTTCCCAGGACCTTCCATCTGGGACCCAGGAGTCCTGAGAAAAAGGAAATTCTAAAATATGGGGGAAGGAAAGGGAGGGCATTGGAATGAAAAGTTGAGACCGACAGGGCGAGTGTCACCCGAAAGTCCCAGCTCCAAAGCAGATGGGTGGCTTTCCTTCCTGGAGCATGACTCGGAAGTTACCAAAACAAATGTCTCCTTAATCTGTGCCATCTTCCAGGGGCCATCTTCTTTGGGGCAGGTGGACTGAGGTCTCTGCCCGTCCCTGATCCCATCTTCCTCCCCTGTACTTGCTGGGTGATGGCTGGTGGGTGACTCCCCAGAGGTGGCCATCCTTAAGCCAGCCCCACTATTTCCTCCCTGCCTCCCTCCCATCTGAGTATTTAAACACCCATCTCCCCTCTCTTCCTGGCATTATCCCCTCCCATCCTCACCCCTTCCCCGAGATCCATCCAGGCCTTTCTGTAAATAAAAGCCCCCGACTTGGATACGAACTAGGATGGGAGTTTCCCTGCTGCCACTGTCGGGGCAGGGTGGGCAGGGGCTCCTGAAGGGGAGGCACATTTGAGGAACATCTGTGGGAAGACCTGGATGGTGGCCTGCTGTGTAACTTTGGGCAGACCCCTTCAGCCATGTCCCAGCTGGGGACACCCAGCGTCTTGCCAAGGCCCAGAGCACAGAAGGTCCTCTGTGAGACCTGCTACCCACGGTGGGCTGGCCTGGGACAGGAACTGGTAATGAAAGATTGAAAGACTTGGTTCTTGCCTTCAGGGGTTCCCAGGTCTGTGGGACCTGGATCACTAGAGCAGAAGTGACATTCACTCATGCCACTTTCACTCGGGACGTCTAGGGAAGACTGGCTCAGATCTGATCTGATCTGAGTACCCCTGGGCACTCCCAGCCTCACAGCTTTGTAGGCCAGCAAGGCCACCCAAGAAGCAGGAAAGGGCATGGCGGGTACCTCGGACCCGTGCAAGGATGGGAGCCTTTGATTTTCAGGGAGTGACCGATCCCAGTGCTCCATTATTGATTTGGGTATTTGTTCCCCCAAATGAAGCATTCTACTGGCCTCAGCCCCTCCTGAAGGTACAGGACTCCAGCCTGAGGTCCAAGCATTTGCTGAAGCCTGGACCCTCCTACACCTCACCCTAAACTTGGCACTAGGTCCCCACACAAGCTGGGCACCCTTTTCCTCCGAAGAGCAGGGCAGAGAACTCCTCTCACTAGTCCACCCCCGGTCCTCCCTCCCCTGCCTCAACACACACACACACACACACACACACACACACACACACACACACACACCAGTGACATCTCAGCCCCCTTATCCCAAATGACAAACAGGACAGACAAGGTGAGGTAGCCCCAAGGACCACAGGGGTGACCTCGCCCTCAATACTTTAGCAAATCCTGTATCCCAGCCTCCCAGCTCCCCTGTCCCTCCCCCAGGAGCCCCCACTGCTGCTGTGGCTGCTGGAACAGGCTCAGGGGGTGAGGGGAAGAGAGTGGGAGTAGGAGGGGGTGCCCCCTTCCCTAAGCCAAGTCACTGTACTTGTCCTAGTGCCTGAAGCCTTGGCCTTAGCCAGTGTATGCCTCCTGGAGGTTTCCTCATGCGCCGGCTGGGGCTCCTTCCATGTCCCTCTCTGCAACTTTCCAGAGACCGGGTCCACTGGAGGATTTCAAATCTTATGCAAGTGTTACACCTCCTTCCTTAGGACTCAGGCATCTGAAGGGGCTGAGAAGGGGGCTGATTCCTAGGCACCAGCCTGGAGGGTGAATTTCACTAAGGAAAAACCCATGTTCTTATGATCCATATGACTCTCCTAAGCCTCTCTGACCTCACGTTGACGCTGGGACCCTAGTATATTCCACTCCAGTCATGCCAGCCCCCACACTGCTCCTTGAACATGCTGTGTCACACAAGTGTTGTGCCCCCTGCTCTTCCCCAAAAGATTGCTTTTTCCCAAAATACCATCACAACCAGTGCCCTTGTTTCTAGTCTTTACTCAAAATGACCTTCTCACCGCCCCACCAATATTCCAGATACCCCTTTATTATCTCTCCTTTGCATTTATTGCTATTCAACAACATCATATAAGCTCCATAGGGCAGCAACTTTGGTCTCTCATTTGCTGCTCCATTCCCCAGCACATAAAACAGTGCCGGGTGTGAGCATCTAGTAACGTGGTGACTACAGCTGATAACACTGCCCTATATAATTAGAACTAAGAATAGAACTTAAATGTTCTCTCTCTCTCTGTCTCTCTCTCTCTCTCTCACACACACACACACACACACACACACACACACACACACCCCATTTGAAAAGAAAAAAGTTTGAAAAACAAAACCAAAAACCAAACAAGAAACATTCCTGGCACACGGTAAGTACTCGATAAATAGTTATTAAATAAATGACTAGTATGTTCAGGATGCTGAAAGGAAGGCGCCACCAATCATCAAACCAGGAAGGACTTGGTCTCAGCTTGTGTGTGATTGAGGCACGTTCCCAGATGGCCCAGAGCATCCAGGTTCCTCCCTTCCCGTCAAGAATGAACCTCCAGGTACGCCTGGGTGGCTCAGTCCGTTGAACATCTGACTCTTGTTTTCAGCTCAGGTCACGATCTCGATCTCACCATTTTCTGAGTTTGAGCCTCACATCGGGCTCCGCACTGATGGCAGGGAGCCTGCTTGGGATTCCCTGTCTCCTCTCTCTCTGCCCCTCCTCCACTCGTGCTGTCTCTCTCAAAACAAATAAACTTTAAAAAACAAAAAAAAGAATGAATAGCCACTACTGGACCTTGAGAGACAAAAGTCTAGTGCAACAAAAACGCAGTAGGAACTCAACCCCCACCCCTCCCCGTTTGCAGTCAGGAAAAGGGGGATTCAGGAAGCCCGAACTGCATCAAGCCAGTATTGCATCAAGAGAGCCCAGCTCCTTCTCAGAGGCCGAGCAGTCTCTCCTCCATGGCCTGTGAAGACTCAGGTCCCAAACCTGCCCCTGGCAGAACTCCAGGAGTCCGGATGATGGGATTTTTGTTTCAAGTAATTTAGTAAGTCACTAATCTTTCAACCCAGATGGCCAGTGTCCAACCCACGCTGCTAAAATCAACAGTGACAAGGGCTTTCAGCCAGAGCTCTGGTGTTTTACCGACAAACAGGGTCTCCAGTTGTCTGCTGGGTACTCTGGCACTTTCCAAAGGGGGTGTTGAGACCGGGGCACTGGGCAGGCTTAGAAGCTGATGAGGCCCTCTGCCAGGTAAGCATGCACAGGAACGGTGTAGCAGCAGCCCAGAGGCTGCTCTAAAAGATCGGGTAGGAGCAGAAATATTCCCAGGATAAATGGTGGGCTTGTTTCTTAGCCACAGAACAAGGCTTCTGTTGGTGATAGGACCCACAGCCAGTTGCCTTAGTTACTGGGCCTGTGTCATGCTGCTCACGAGGTCACCTTGAACCAAAGCTAGTGGATCTAGCTCCAGGTGGATGAGGAGAAATGTGTCCTCTGCCCCTTCGCCTACCCTATGTGATAAGCACCTCAAACTCAACCTGTCCAAAACTGAAGTCATTCCCCTCCCCCAAACTGCTTCTTCAGCGTACCCTACCTCAGTGACTAGTTCTACCATCTACCAGGTGCCCAGGCCTGAAACCCACATCATCTTTAACTCCTGCCTTCACCTCCAACGCTAATTCATTTCCAACCCTGTCGATCTCTCCTTTTCACTCATTCAGCAAATATTCATTCATTCCATAAACACCGTTGTCTCCCCAGTTAGAATGTAAGCTCTATGAAGGCAGTTTTTTTTGTTGTTGCTGTTCTCTTCACTGCTGTATTCTCAGCCTCCAACAATATACAGTATTTAACAGGAACTTTATATTAGCTAAATGAGTATTATTTGGGATAATATCCATAAGCTTCATTATGGCACACAAGCCCCTTGGGCCTGGCCCATCTTCCTCTTCAGGCTCATTTCTCACTCCTAACTTCTTGCAGTTCCTAAAATGCCCCAGTTCTCTTGTTTTTATACCTGCTGTTCCCTGGAATACCACCCCCACCCTTCTTCAGCTGATTCCTACTCCTATTTCAAAACTTGCTCAGGTCCTCTAGCAATCCTCTCCTCTCCAACTGCCAACTGCAAGCTTCATCCTGCTTACTGGGTGTGGGCAGTCCTGGTTTCACAGATTTTTAGAAAATATGTATCTTGCTATCTGTCTCTGGTCAAACTGGGAAATCCTCCTCCCTGGAACCCATCCTGGATAAGAAGACCCAGAGGCTTTCCTATCTGTGTTGTCTGAACAGGATGGTACCGTTCCACTACGGGCCGTACCTGCCTTCCCACCAAACTATATATAGCCTGCTACACAAGTTACTTGCTCACATCATTGTGGTCTTGAAATGTACGTTTTGAGATAGAAGTTCCTTGTAATTTTCTTTGTATAGCACCTAGGACAGAACTTAAAAACCCTCATGTAGTACTCATTAAGCTTTCTGCTAATAATGATAAAATACTCAAAACAGTCAAAGCTACATAAAACATATGTGCAGAAGAATCCAAAGGATTGATGAAGACCAAATGGAAGAAGGCTTCCTCAGGGAGGGGAATGCTACCTACAGGATTAAGGATGATGGGGAGAACATAAAGGCCACAGGCAAGCTGGCACCGTCACTGGAACTAACATTATTGAATTAATCCTAGGAATTCTGCTCCCATCCTCAACAGAGGGAAAATTTACTAGTAGCTCTCAGACTTCTGCAAAGGGCCAAGTTTGATACAAAGACAATATATACTTGGGGAGCCTGAGTGGCTCAGTTGGTTAAGCATCTGACTTCAGCTCAGGTCGTGATCTCGTGTCGCGGTTCGTGGGTTTGAGCCCCACATCGGGCTCTGCGCTGAAGCTCGAGCCTGGAGCTTGCTTCAGATTCTGTATATCCCTCACTCTCTCTGCCCCTCTCCTGCTCACACACTCTCTCTCAGAAATAAACATTAAAAAATAAAAAAATTAAAAAGACAGTATATATTCTACCTCAGCAGACTCTACCTTATTCAGAGATCAACACTGCCGAGGCCCTGCCATTTTACCTGAGGCCTTAATCTGCTTTATCCTGTCCCCTGTATATTAGGGGGAGAATTAGGGTACAGAGTGCCACCTCCTTCCTTAGCTGGCCTCTCTACTCTTGCCCCTGACAGGTCAGAATCCAGGGAACCCATCAGTACTAGCCAGCCATCCCTATGCCTCTGCCATCCATAAACTGGAGGTGACTAGGTCAAACAATCACATATCAAAAAGCTAGCTATTGCTGTCACAGGTAAGGGAGCCCAAAGAGGCAGCTGGAGCAGACCAGACAGACCGAAGACAACCTGAGCTGATGGAAGTGGAGCAGTGGTTCCGAAGGAAGCTTCTGAGGAAACCTCAAGAAGCGGTGGCCCTCCGGAGGGGAGCAGGAGGAAGGCACAGAGACGGCTGTGCGCATCAGGCACAGGGTGGCAGTGGCGTCACTCAGCAGTAGGGCCGCTTCTTCCCACTCGTCACGACCAGCCCTCGGTCCCTCTGGGATAACAAACATACGTCTAGGTAACAAATGACACACAATTTTGTCAAATTAAGGACAAAGTCCATCAATCCGCATTGGCAATTTTTAATGTTTCACTTGTGCAGAACTGAAATTTGTATTCAAAGGCACAGAAGGAAGGAAAGGCAGTTATCACAGCGTGAATTCACAGATAAAGGGTGCTGGATAAAATCATCAGACTGCTCCTCTTTAGCCTTAGGAAAATAAATAATGCAGTACTAAACTAGCTTTATTTTTATTATATTTCCATGTAAAGGCAGTACCCAAATATCAGCTGAGTAAAAGACTTTCTGGCCAGATACCAAAGGTGCACAGCTGATCCGCTTTGGGATGAATGCCCAGAAAGGAAACATTACCAGAGGGTGCGAGCTCCAGGCACAAAGTAAGCTCTCATTCAGAAAATGGACAGAGATTTGAAGCAGTCAAACACACAGCTTTGAAAACTGGAAAAGTAATTTTCGTGACATTTGTTTTGAAAATAAAAATTAGCTGCACATCAAGAACTGTAATTTTCAAAAATGGAATCAGGCCTGATTAGTACTTATGACTTCCCGATAAAAATTACAAAAATAAAAACTGAAACTCTTCTGTTCTTGAAAGAGATATAAAACTATATTTTTTTCCTGAAATACCATAAGAGAACCATCAGTATTTCACCCTATGTCTCTTAAAATGTCCTTTTGTTCTTCTTTCCACATTCTGCCACTTTAAAAATAGCAAAACCTTTTCAATATGGCGATTGCTGCTAAGTGAAAGGATGTACTGTTTATTGAATCAGAGTATAAATGAGGAAAAAGCTGAAATGTTCTGAAAAATACTAGTTTACGCCGTAATGAGATCATATCCACCAGGTAGAAAGAAAGATAAAGACGGAGATTTTCCTAAAAACAAAAACAAAACCCAGTGATTTAAAACCTTCTAAACATAATTTCTAATTGCAAAGCACTATTTAGAAGCTCCTGATTGGTGTGATGCAAGAGAGGGAACAGAGACATTTGGTAGAACAGAACATATTTCTAATTGGTTTCATTTAAATCACATCAGCCTTACTAATTATTACCTTTCTTCCTTATGTAAAACACTGATTCACCAGGTTAGATCACAAGAACATGGAAGTAAAAACAAATCTCAACTCAGGTCCGAGCACAGTGATTTGGGACCACTGTCTCACTCCCTCACAGACAAAACTCTGGGTGGTGTTCCTCTTTTAAACACAGGCCCCCAAACACCTTATATGCAGGTTCCATATAAGTGTGTAAATAAAACAAGTTCTGTATTTTCTCAAATAATTTTAAAAGTTGATGGTAAAATTAGATGCTAGAGATAAAACCATGCTTTTAAAAACATTAAGCCTCAAAATTTCATCCAGTGTTTTAAGAAATGGATTAAAATCATTTTTGAAATGAGATATTAAATGTATTTAAATCTGGGTTTTTCTGTACTTAATAATTTTTCTTAAAAAAAAAAAAAAAAAAAAGGTTTAAAAACATCAAGAGCTGGAACATGCTGCCAGGACAGAAATAATCAGAAATGTCTTCAGTCGCAGACCCTGGGCACCTCAGTCTTGTTTTGAACTTTCCAAAGCTTGAAGCCTCTCCAGTAGTGGAGGGTGAGAATAATGCCACATTGAAAACAGCCAGTCCGAAACAGGGAATCCCAAGTTATCTTTGTTCAGTTTGATTAAAGCAGAATATAAGTCTTTAGCTTTTCCAAGTTTCTTGGCAAACGCATCGGCTTGAAACTCAAATCTGCGGCTTAGGACTGTTAGGCAGAAAGAAAGAACCTGAAAAAGTAAACAGAAGGGGTTTGACCACTGCCCACCTCTGCGGCCACTGGCGGGCGCATGAGCAAGGCGTGCGGGCAAAGTCCAGCTCAGGATAAGAGAAACAACAGGTCCAAAGGAAGATCACTAGTATTTAGGGAACTAAGGTGGGGAATTGTTATAAATTGAGACTTTTCCCCCAAGCAAACAGACCAGAAACAGATATATACCCAAATCAATGTTCTTCTTACCAAAAAAATACTAATTTTTAAGCATCTGCCAGGTGCCAGCCACTGCTGTAGGCACTTTATGTATTCCCGAACAATCCTACATGGTCATTAGTCTTACTGTTGTTTCACAGATGAGGAAGGTCATGTTCAGAGAGGTGAAATAACTTGGTGGAAGTCACACAGCTAGAAGGTTGTGGCACTGAGATTCTTGGTACCTCCATAGCCCACACACACCACCTTTCTCCGGGTCAGAGTTAAGTCGTGCTGATTTCTATTCAGACCCTTTCTTTCTCTATTAAAATATATTCTTGGAGCGCCAGGGTGGCTCAGTCAGTTGAGTGTCCAACTTTGGCTCAGGTCATGATCTCATGGCTCGTGAGTTCGAGCCCCATGTAGGGCTCTGTGCTGACAGCTCGGAGCCTGGAGGCTGCTTCGGATTCTGTGTCTCCCTCTCTCTCTGCCCCAACCCACTCGCATTCTGTCTCTGTCTCTCACAAAAATAAATAAACATTAAAATAAATAAATA